CATCCGCGGCGTTTCCCGGTGTGGGGGCGTCTTCTGACGGGGGAGGGCTGCTGGGGCCGGGGGGACGCGCAGTCCTGGCATCTGGGTGTGTTACCTGAGGAGTGGTGGCCTGCCGCTGGCGTGATCCAGCATTCGGGGGAGATAAGCTGTTATTTCCTCCCTTTCAAGCCTGTTAATACGTGGTTTAAGCAGGTTAAGAAATTATAACTTCAAAATAAAGCACAAGTCGCCGTACCATAGCAAAATCCCGAGTAAACCTTGTCTGAAGTATTTTGATGTCTCTTTGGCAAGCTGCAGAAATCCATTCAGTTTGTAATGGTTCATTTTTCATCTAACAGGAAAACAAAAGCCCTAAACAGTGCTTGAGGGAAGGACACTGTAGGAGTTTGCAAGTGACGTTTTTTGCATGCAAAAGATCAATGGTAAGTGTTTGTGGTGTGTTTGCTGCAAGCGGCCTGGATGCTTTCTGACCCTTTCTGCTTTCTGAAGAAAAGCACTTTAGTTCAGTAAAACTGTTGTTACTACGCAGACCAGGTCTTGCCTTTAAATTCCATTTGAAATACAGATGTTGTACGTACACTGTTCTCATGAAGAAAAAGTCACGGAGTGTGAACAAGATGGGGGGAAAAAAAAGCATATTTAAATTGAATTAGAATTAGCATGTGACACATAAATGAGATGGGTATTTTTACTTTGTTTTAGTTAAGTTTTGGTTTAAACAATAATTTGGGTAGTTGTAGGATGTTGACAAACTGATTTTTGTCTGCCAACGAAGAATATGTAAGTGAAAAGGGTATCCTACTGAAAGACATTTCTGTTGAAGCAGGTTATTGCATCCGTCAGGTTTTTATGGAGGACTTGAATTTGTTATGAAAAACAGTGTGGGATTTTATATAGTGAGTTGTCAAGTATGGTAGTGAGAAGCCAGTCGAAATGTAATTAGGTAAAGTTTCCTCAATTTTTCCCCAATTTTTGATTTTTTCTGTTGTTTAGAAACATCTTGCTTGTGTTTCATAACATGCAAAAAATTGACAAGATAAGGCAAAGAAGGTCGCAAAACTTTTTAAGCCTGTGTACTGCAGGGCTCGGTTTTACTTTTAGCTGATGTGATACATAATGAAGAATACACAGCTGAAACTGTACCTAAAGTTTTTCTTCCATTCTGTATTCTTGCTAAAGTCATAGCAGCTTTTTGTACCTCTCCTATACGAACTGTATTAACCCATCAAGTGGTGGATTATTATTTCTGTGAATAGGAAAAAATGCTGTGTATTTAATGCTTGAAATACCTAGTTGACGCTGCAGTAGCAATATATGTATCTCCAGATGATGGACCTGTATTTCTGTGGATCGCTAAGGGAGCCTCATGAAAATACGTTGTCATGCAGGAAGAAGCCTGGCTCTTACCTGATTCTGTTTAACTGCTCTGAATGTTAAGGCTGAAGAACAACATTTTTCTTGCCCTGTTAACTCTGAATTTCAGTAACTGTCTTCTGCCAGATTTGTTACTTGTTATAATAGTGAGGCTTAAAGAGTATTTAAAAACAAGTTGGACACTAAATGCAGATATAATTTACAATATGTTAAAAACATTGGGGTTTTGCGTAGATGCTGTTTTCTTTGTAAGGAAATATAATCTCTTATCAGAGGATTAAACTTTAATACCATATAGATACTAAAGTAAGAACAAGGTTTAAAGTGGAAACTGCTTGGTTATTGAACAGGCTGTGCCATCTTGCAGTTTAGCTCTCTAGGTTTTGCTGCAGTTCTGAATCCTGAAATAGGGTTAGCCAAGGGAGGAAAAGCATATGTCCTCAATCTAATATGTGGATATGGCTGAATTACGGTCTGTAGCTGCCATCTTCAAGACTGAGTAGCTAAATTCAGAAGAATTCTCCCAAGATCAGAGTATATTTTTCTGCTGCTCTGGAAAAGACTGCAATGTAGCTGTTATTTTAGCTTTACTGCCATTCTTTGCCTTCTGTTAAGTGAGTTTTTTGTAACTGCCAAGAAGACACTTGCAAATTTTACAAGCTGAATATTATTTCAATTTTTCTGATACTTTTTTTCAGACACTTGTCCTGTCTTCACTGCATTTGCAGTGACTCCCACTTGAACCCAATCTGAATTTTCCTCCTTCAGCTTGTCAGTTAACTTTGGAAAAACAGATCTAAGTAGATCTACACTACACTGTTTTCATGTGTTCCTTGCAGTCCCACTGTGTTGTTATGCTGTTTATTTCAGAATGCACACAATGCTTATAATGTAATTTAAATTTTGTGTGAGATTTAAGACAATACAGTGTCTGTTTCATTGGAAGAACCCTATGACTTGTTGTCTATGTCACTAATTTTCTTTACAGTGACTTGTGCTTTATTCTGTGCTTTCTTCTGATGTTATGAAGTGCCAAGATAGCACAAGTATTTCTTTTGCAAAATGTATGGTTTCAATATATTGACTTCAATTTTCAGTTGGATACCAGGGCACGATTCAGAGGAAGAAAGGGATACTGATGTCCTCATGAAGAGACCCAGCCTTGGGAGATCAGGATTCATCAGCACTTTAAGCAAACCAGAGACTCAAGTAAGATGATTGTATCTGCTGCATCCTTTCATGCAGTATTTCCATGGAAGGTATCTGCTCCTGAGTATGCTGAAAGATTGACATGGAGCACATTTAAATGTTAAAAAGAAGGCGAGCATAAACTGCAAATTCTGGCCAAAATGGGTACTTGTCACACACTTGCAATAAAATATGTAAAATCCAGACTAAACTGCCGAAGTTCTCATTGTGTTTTGAAGTGAAGTTGTCTTTTGTGGTTTTACAAATCCTGATCATGTTTTACTCTTACAAATGATACAAGATATGGACCTGGAAGCTCACTTAACTGGTATCCCAGCAGATACCTCAGGACAGCGCTGTTTTCAGAGATGAGTTGACCAAGGTTGTGAAATGTGTGTGCAAGCTGCCAACCCCAATGGGTTTCTTGCTCAATAAACCTGCACTAATAGGTGGGAGTGGTGATGATTCTGCAATCCCATGTATGCTAGAATGGCATCTCTTTCCTCTTGCTACAAATTCCTTTCAATGTGATGACTGAGGTACATGTTCATTAGCGCAGTGTAGTCTTGTTGGACAACTAGATTAAAATGTGGTTACTCTAAATTAAAGGATGTCTGATTTATCTTTCAGCAGTCTGTCTTCCATTGTGCTGACAGAAGTACAAGAGAATTACAGCATTGTTCAAGGCGGTGATTTGAAAGCTGTATGCCAGGTTGTAGCTAACTGTATATCTTTGGATGGGAGAGGGAAGTGTTCCTCAGGCCAACAGTTAGGGTGACCATGACTGCTATTCCTGTGTGCTAGAAGTATGTGCAACAGTATTTAAGTTCCTCTGAGGTGACCCTGAATGATGTTTCTGCATTATTTTCCAAGCAGGTGTATAAATACTAATCCAAACATATGTACAAACTAGGGATCATGATCTGGACTTTGTGTTTATAGGAAGTCGTGTTGCACAAATTTATTTTATGAGCATTTTTCTTGGTTTTACTTTGTTACTTATCTCTGAATTATTTGATTCACGTTTATGGGTGTAAAATCAAATTCCCATTCATATTCATTTACATTGTAACTAGTTTCTGAAAAAAAAGCAGCAAAGAAATTAATAGAGGAAAATACTGGTTTGCTTTCCTTTGATCAAGGATGACTGTGGCAGATCTGTCTGCAGTATGGCAGTGTTCAGATAACTTCTATCAGTTATTCCCTCTTGACCCACCCGGGTAAGGAAGCAGGATTTAAGGAGGTAACAAGCATTAAATAGTGCTTGAACTGTGACTGTGGTCAATATTTACTGGTTCTGTTTAAGAACTTATGTCTGAAAAATATTTCTTTTTCCTTCCTTCAGCGTCTCTGCCTCCTTCCCTGCCTTTTGAAGCATTTAAGAAATAAATGGTAGTGTAATTCTTACATGTGGAAACTCAAATAACTTCAGACAAGCTGATTAGAAACAAGATTAGGAAATAGTGAGAGGGGAGAGAGCCATAGTAACTTATTTTCTTGGCTAAAGCTTATAGCCACGTGGCTGATTTACATTTAGTCTGAACAGATGCAGCACTTACTGGTTTTAAAATTGATGACTTCAGTGAATGAGTGCATGTTGATTAGTTAATTCTGTCTGTCTTAAGCAACTGCTCTGTGATCAGTCAAAGTGTGTTTATATTCCTTGTACGCGTAGGGGTTTATTTTTGCAATCATAAATCAACACCAATTTCACATTTTCATGTTCTGTTGATCATGTGAATGCTGGTTCATCTGGTGAAGTGCTGTAAACATCCTTTGTTTTCCATAGCCTAGTTACCACGTTATCTCTCTCCATATACTAAAATGATAAATTGATGTGATGTCTTTAAGACATGTCTTAACTTAGCACTCTAATTTCGAAGTATTACTCACAAGCCTTGTCCATTGGGGTTGGGAAAATTAAAAAGGGAATTAAAATAAATTTAAAGCCACTTGGCAGATAATTAAATGTCAAAGAGAAGAGTGGGAATGGTGTGTGGTTGTGGTAGTCAAGGCCTCTTGCAGGGTCTGGGTTGGTGGCTCAAGTGATCTGTTCCTTTCTCACCCAATGGTGCTGCAGCAGCTCCTGTGGGAAAGGAGAGAACAAATAACGGATCATAGACACATCACTAGTTAAAGTTATTTTTAGTAACTGGCTTGATCCAGTGGAGATCGAGTGTTAAAATTAAATGCAATGTTTGCTGTTGGACATTTAAGGATCTAATAATTAATTTAACGGAATATGTGTACTATTTGATCCAATAGAATCTTGGTGTCAGAACTCCCTAATGGTTTGCTAAGCTATCTAGGGCAGTATAGAAATACATATAATATGTATTGAAATACTGACTTGCTCAAGAGACCATCAGTGTTCCATTCCAATATTGTGTAACATAATACTCTGTCTAAAAATGACTAATTATGTAATTGCCCTGGGACTTTGAGCACTGCCCTACTTGAGAGTTATAAATGTTTCTTCTATGAAAAATAATTTCTTTAATTAATGGAAAGCCCAAAGTACTATAAATTTGTGTGTGATTACAGCTTTTTTCCTAATACAAAAAAATGATTTTATTTGAATATGTTGACATTTTTAAGTCTCATGCCTTGTGCTACACCACTGGATTTTATTAAAAAAATACACATTTCTAATCTATGGTAGATTTTGCAAGACTGAACATGTATTTGAATCTGTGAAATTGGACTGCTGAGGGCAAAAGGTTGAAATGACGCCAAAAGACTCTTACCTTTTTGTAGAATCAGAAATGTATGCAGTGCTAATAATTTGTACTGAATAAGTACAGCACACAGTTTGCAAAGACCTTTCAGTGCCGCTCTGATTTCTCCCATTTGTTTTATGAGGTGGCAGAGTCGGGGCATGCTGATGAGCTTCGCATGGCAAACTGTGGCTGCTCAGCACTGGGACCCGTCTGTGATGTTACTACATCTGGTTTCATCAATTCGCATGTTCAGTCTGTGGTCCAATCCTGTGAACACGTTTGCATTTACATAGCAGTAGACACATATTGCAGAACTAGTTACATGTTAATTATGATAAATAACAGGCTGTTGATTCTTTAGGTCATCAACTCTGTCCTTTCAGGTTAGTACTAAGTGATAAACACATTGTTTATGTAGAATCTGTTTAATGAAGGCCCATGTGTACATGCCTTGAAAAGTGAGAGAAAGGAGCTAATGTTTAACAAGTATGCATGCATTTATTATTTAAGTTATGCTTCTTCAAAGGAAAGACAAAACATCTTTAAAAAAAAAAACACTTTTGAAAGTTTTCTGCTTCCAGAATGTGTGCATTTGTGTTACAAAGAGCTTCATTATTCACTGGTTGGCATAAGAAACTGGTTTTGTATTCTCTCTTCACTCTTAAGTCTCTGGGAAGTAGCAGGTGGGACGATACGCTTTTTTCAAAGCAAACTTTTAAAATATTATTTCAGTGGAAGCCTGGAACAAACTAGACTGACACCTTCTGCTCGTAAGAGCAGCACTAAGTGAAATGATCATCTAAAAATGTAGTGACAGAATGTAGGTGGTAAGCAATATCTGTTGTTTAAGCCTTTGGTTGGAAAACTTAGAAATACCGAACTGTAGCAGCTTTGTTGACATGGTGAATTTCACAGGTACTCATGCTGCCTTAGCACTTGATATGTGGTCATTTAGAATATGTGTATTTATTCTAAATAGGCATCTCAGTGTCTAAGGCTGAAAAGCACGACGGAGTTTAATTTCCTCCATAAACTGTAGTTGGCAGTAACCAGAAACCTTGAGATCCTTTCTCCTTTTTTCTTTTTCCAATTGTGCATGCTGAATTGTCTGTCTCTGGCATTGTATTGCTGCAGGTGTCTTCAGAAAACTATTAACCAGTTGTTTCTGTAAATGGTCCACTCCACAATGGCTTCCTTGACTCTGTAGGAAGAAAATTCTCTGAGCATGCAGAGCAGCTTCGCTATGGAGAAGGACTATTCTTTATTTTCAGGATTTACAGTAGGTTGATTAATAATGTCCTTAAGCATTGAAAGGAGAAGCAGCAGCAAGATTAGCATTTTAACAGCTGCTTAACGATGTCAGTAGCAGGTGATATATTTAAAATAATAATGTATTTTGGTAGATAAGCATTGAAATTATTTCTTAGATCAAGCTGAAGTTTGTCCTGGTGAAAGTTTTCACGTGACATTTTTCTTCTTTGCCTGTACATACTAATGGGCCACAGTGAAATGGATTGGCAGTATTTCTTCAAGATTATTAGTACCAGAGGAAATGATACACGTGAATCTCTGTGACTTAAAACAAGATATCCAAAACTATTTTTGCAATATTGCTGTTACTTTAAAAGGAGCTAGGGAAAAATACTGAATGTAGAAATGGGTTTGTAATTTATAAGTTCCAATGATAAACTGTGCTACTGTAAAATTGTGTAGTGTTGTCCCTCATTATCATGAAGGATGAGGAATATAGAATTTCAAATTTATGGTGGGAATTTTTAAGGCTTTGTTGATGGGGGAGGTTTTGAAGTCTTTCTGCTATGTGGTTCACAGAAGTCTAACATTTGTTAGATATTGCTTGTCTCAGGCTTTTGATTCTGCATCAGCCATACCTCTGTAATGGCTGTAGCAGGATGTTTTCTGGAAATCTGAGAAGAATTCTGTCACAGGTCATCGGTTTGATAGCATACTGAGGAAGATGAGGGTAAATATAAACTGATTATTTGTCTAAAATTTTGCATTGCTCAATATACAGATAGTGACTACACGAAGGCTTTTATCAGCTGAGACTGGACATCCAGTGAAGTGTCTCTTTGTTCCTGCTTCATATTAACAGTTAAGTTTGACACCCTTCAGCTACTCTGACCTCCTGTGGAGGTTGAGCTCTTGTGCTAAAGGCATTGACACTTGAAAAAGGCATAAATGGTAACCTCTGTCTCCATCTGAGCGTGTGT